AAAGATTTACAAGACTAGCTTCAAGGATGAGAAACTTCAAATTAAGGGATTGATTGGTGACATTGGGGTTGTTCTTAGGGAAATTTGAGAAAGTAGCACAGTGGTTAGCAGCACTGTCTCACAGTGCCAGGAACCTGGGTTCACTTCCAGCCTTGGGCGACTGTCTGTGTGGAGTTTGCATGTTCTCCCTCCCTCTGTCTGTGTGGGGTTGCTTCAGTAACTTCCCACAGTCTGAAAATGTGCGGATTGGGTGGATTGGCCATGTTAAAGCTGCATCATATATCCAGGGATGTGCAGGCTAGGTAGATTAGCGTTGGGAAATGTGGTGTTACTGGGATAGGGCAGAGGGGTGGGATGCTCTCCAGAGGGTTGGTATGAGCTTGATGAGCTGAATGGCCTGCTTCCAAACTCGGGATGTTACGATTCTATGTGATAGAGATGTTCAATATCATGAGGGCTGGTATAATGAGAGGACACTGAATTTTGGAGACTGGCAAAATGGTGCCATAAGAAAAGCTTTTTCATACAACAAGTGGTTAGGATTTGGAATGCAATACCTAAGCATGTGAGAGAGCCTGATTCAATCTTGGCATTCAAGATAATTAGATTATTAACTTAAGAGATAAAGTTTGCAGATAGATAGAGGGGCTAGAAAAATCAGAGTTATGCAAATTAATGGGATATTAATTCCCCAAATATCATTTGGAATAATATTAGACAAAAGGGTTAGAAGATAGAGGAGTTTCTAAAATATAACTTCTTGGATTGGTACATTTGTTAACTAACTGGAAAGGAGGCATTACTGGATCTAATCCTGCAGCAGTCCAAATCTGCACAGTATTATGATAATGGTAAATTTTAGATGATCAATTTTTAACTTCCATCATCTGATTTTAACATCAGGGACGAAAATGGTTTAAAAGAGAAAAAAAGCATTGATTCAAAATAAGCAATGACAATCAGCTGACCACAGTTTAGCCCGGTTTCCCAAAACTGTTACCAAATAAACAAAGACAGTCTGAAGCTTGGAGGCTTGCAGAATTAGTTGCATTAGAAAACAATCATTATCTTCTTTAAGACTAAAGCTTTGCTACATATTATTTTTACATTGGAACACTCAAGAAGTAAAATAAGATAAAGAAGCTGTACACATTTCTAGTTTACGAACTCTGCACATACGGCTAAAGAGCTCATGACAGAATCTAGAATGTTGTTCCTCAAGGACTCAAAAGCTGCATTATAATTCACAACAACTGAAACTGCAAAGAAGGGAAGGCATAGTAGGAACTGCCGATGCTGGCGTCTGAGATAACAAGGTGTAGAGCTGGATGAACACAGCAGGCCAGGCAGCATCAGAGGAGCAGGAAAGCTGACG